TGTGCGGCATCCGCACATCTGTTCAAAAGAAAATGTGCGCAACATTTTGTTTCTGTGTGCTGCGCACAGTCCGCACAACAAAAATAATCACTGGTAGTAACTATGATACAATATAACATATGAGAGTTGAATATGTGCATAAATGACTGGTGTTACTAAATAATGGTTTTTGCTAGTTTATACTATATGTCCATTAGTGTTGCTGCAAAGGCGCAACTTAATTTTTACAGCTTATTTATGCTGTAATTATTACAAGATAAGTCATAAATACTATATTACCGATGTCACATTCTATTTCGACAATAGGTTGCGCTATAAAAAAGTCGCATTTCATATTCATATTTGCAGCAAACAGCACTAACCGGAGATCAAGTAATATCACATAAATGGTTGGATTAAATTTTTGAAAAGCTAATAATCGCCAAATCGAAAGAATACGCTCGTCAAAATTAGCCCTAAAGATTAAAGTTAGGATTAAAAATTAGAATAAAATTAAAGATCAGAGATAAAAATGAGAACTAAAAAATAAGGAAGGTGGATGCTGAAGATTTTTGCTTAATACATCCAACCCTGGTTATTTAAACAGTTTTTGAGATATAGTCACTGCTAGCGTTGCAAACTTAATTAAATTTAAACGCCAAAATAATTTACTTTACAAAAATATTATTGTTTAGTAATTACAAAAATTGCAATATATCGTAATTAAATCTAGAATTATACGTAGAAGCAAAATTTCATTACAGTAATTAATAATAATTTTGCCATATATACTGTGATGCCTTTTAGTGTTCGAACACGGACTGTACGTACGTACGTACGTATCTGTTATGTAGTTTAATAACTTGTACGTATGTTACACGATACTATCGGCCTTTAAATAATACAAAAAATTATTAATTATGCAAAAATATTATTAATTTCAATTTTTAACCTTTATAATAACCAAATTCATTTAATCACTGCCAGGGTTGGGCAGCCTTCTATATATGTCCGATGACTTTTACCGGATATCCATTGATCTATTACAGAGTAAAAATTGGCAGTAAATTACTGTCCTAATTATTTGGTTTGCTTAACTCTGAACAGAGGTTTCTTATCTCTAAAAAAAATAGACAATTTTAGAAATTTAAAATTCATTGGACAACCCACTTGTCCGATTGCCCAATCCTGGTACATGTGTGTCTAAATTATTTTTGAAAAAAAAAATTCGCCATTGAAATCTTTTCTTATATGAACTCTCACAAATAATTACTCTATTTAATGTATTTTGATATAAAGAATTCGAATAATTTCACCAATAATTTCGCCACTTATGAAAATTAATTTCTTCAACTATGGAAAACTAATTTCAACAGATTAAATTGTTGAAATAATTCTTTATTAGAAGTAATAGTTAAACACCATTGGTATGATTGGTATGATTTAACAATACAGAAAACCAATCAAAAGGATTCTTTTAAAATTTAATACGTAGCGATAGTTTTTTTCTGATTAAAAAACGGTTAAGTTTTATTAAGATGCAGACATACAGACTTAGATTTAGTACCAGTCGACTTCGTCAATTTAGTCAATAAACCAGAAAACGAACTTCGAATAAATATGCCGATTAAAAATAGTTTGATTTTAAACTTTTTAAATATTTTAGATTCTTTATAAAAAAAAAAAAAAATTTGATTAAAACGTTGGATTGGATATGACTTCTTTAATCAAACGATAGTACAACCCTGCATAAAATATCCCGAGTCACCGATAGTAATACAGTAAATGTATGTACTTTCTATATCGGTATGGTATATAATTTATATGGCGATAGATGAATTAATGCTAAGTTAAACTTTTGCCATATAATAAACGCCCGGGGCCTGTTACAGTGTTCAACGAGTAAAAAAAAATCATCACGTTCAATCTATTGTCATTTCATTGTGGTAGTTTAATAAACGTGACATTACGCTATTGTTACTATATGAAGATTTGTCAAGTTTTGATTGGATTTAGAGTGTCAATTAATTGTCTAGCTTCTAAGCCTTCATAAATAATTTTTTTTGTACCAAGATAATAATATATATATTTTTTTATCCAAATTTTAACGGACACTATACAACAGAACTTTTATAATGGCTGAACTTCCGATAAGGTTTCAGGAGTATTGCCAGGTACGCGAGATATGTTTTACCACAGCAGTTAGTGTGTAGTGCTACCACTTTTTAGTAAAGGCAGAAAATGCAAACTACAAGTATTAATCTTTTATAAATAATTTTATATCTTATTTTTCTTTATTTGTATGTCGGTACATTCCAATGCTATTAGCTCCAAGACTTAGGTGTCAACCCGGCAAACATAGGGTTCAATTGGTTGACTATGGAGTCGGATCGTTTTATATGTGTGCGTGAAACTGCAGGTGGAGCAAATCAAGTCGTCATAATCGACCTTAATGATCCTCAAAATGTAATGAAAAGACCAATTTCTGCTGATTCTGCAATAATGCACCCAACAAGCAAAATTCTTGCACTAAAAGGTTGGTTCTTTGGTTTTAGTTTTAATATTTTAATGATAAATTTCACTCAATTCAATTTTTTATATTATGAATGTAGCTCAAAGGCAGCTGCAGATTTTCAATCTTGATCTAAAATCAAAAGTTAAGTCTCACAATATGCATGAGGATGTTGTTTTTTGGAAATGGATAAACGTCAAGACGCTCGGTCTTGTTACAGCAACTGCTGTTTATCATTGGTCTATGGACGGCGATTCTCAGCCGACTAAAGTCTTTGATAGGCACGCAAGCTTACAGAGTGCTCAAATAATTAATTATCGCGTGAATTCGGATGAAAAATGGATGGTGCTTGTTGGCATATCAGCTGAGGTTTGTATAATTATGTCTTTTAAACGTTTGCGATTGACTGAATTATTTAAGGGTCTTTTTGATTACATAGGATGGAAGGGTTGCCGGTCATATGCAACTGTTTTCTAAGGAACGTCAAGTCAGTCAGCCAATTGAAGGTCATGCTGCTGCATTCGCCACTTTATTGTTAGAAAATGGTGTTTCCCCTACAAGATTGTTTACGTTTGCCGTACGAAATCCATCTGGCGCAAAAGTATATATTATACCATTTGCTCTTTCGTTCATATAATGTTATAAGAAAATCTTCAAATTAGATTTTGTGACTAGAAACCACATTCACTTTGGAAATATATTGATGAAATATTTATTTTCTTTATTTCTTATATATAGTTACATATCGTTGAAATCGATCATAAAGATGAAAATCCTCAATTTGCTAAAAGAACAGTTGATGTCTTTTTCCCTGCGGAAGCTAGTACTGATTTTCCTGTCGCTATGCAAGTTAGCAAAAAATATAGTATAATTTTTCTTGTCACCAAATTTGGTTATATCCACTTATACGACTTGGAGACTGGTACATGCATCTACATGAACAGAATAAGTGGTGAAACAATTTTTGTAACTGCTGAACATGAAGCAACTAGTGGAATCATTGGTGTCAATCGAAAGGGTCAGGCAAGTAGCTAATGAAATTAATATGTTTTCTTTATCCCATATTACCTGACTCCTCTTTACCTTTTTCAATTAGGTTCTATCCGTATGCGTAGATGAGAATAATATAATTCCTTACATAATGACGACGCTCAATAATCCTGACCTAGCTGTGAGAGTTGCTACAAGATGTAATTTACCGGGTGCTGAAGAATTGTATGTTAAAAAGTTTATGGAACTATACGCAGCTGGACAGTATAATGAAGCGGCTAAAGTTGCAGCTAACGGACCGAGAGTATGCCCCCTTTAGATAGTCTATTATCATTGTTATTTCGAAACAAATGTTTTAATTTGTATATATATATTTATTTTTTTTGTAGGGTGTTCTTCGTACACAACAAACTATTGAGCGGTTCAAATCAGTTCCTATACAGCCTGGCACATTATCGCCAATCTTACAATATTTTGGTATCATTTTGGAAAAAGGAGAGCTCAACAAGTATGAATCACTTGAACTTGCGCGACCTGTTTTGGCGCAAGGCCGCAAGCAATTACTTGAAAAATGGCTAAAAGAAGACAAAGTATGTATTTATTAGTCCAAAACTTATTCTCTGATTTGGATATTAATTAATTAATTAATTTTTTTTTCTTATCCTCATAGTTAGAATGTAGCGAGGAACTTGGAGATATTGTTCGTCAATACGATCTTACCTTAGCTTTATCAGTATATCTTCGTGCTAATGTCCCGAACAAGGTATGTCTCGCAATAGCCTATATTTATTGTGCTATTTATGCTATTATATTATTATGTTACTAAGTTGCACTGATATTATACACTGTCAGGTCATTGCGTGTTTTGCTGAGACTGGTCAATACTCTAAGATCGTCCTCTACGCGAAAAAAGTCGGGTTTCAACCAGATTATCCTTCTCTCTTGCAAAAAATTATGCGACTTGATCCTGACAAAGGTGGAGAATTCGCTGCTATGTTGGCTACTGATGAGAGTGGACCTTTAGTCGATATCGAACGAGTAAGTTGTCTTATTATGCATCTTAAGCATATTGAAGGAGCGTAGTTAACTTTTCTTTTTTTTTTAAAAAAAAAAAAAAAAGATTGTTGATGTTTTTATGTCACAAAACTTGATTCAACAAGCAACATCGTTTTTATTGGATGCTCTAAAAGATAATAAACCGGAACAAGCACATTTACAAACTCGATTACTTGAAATGAATCTTATGCATGCCCCGCAAGTTGCTGATGCAATTCTTGGCAATGAAATGTTTAGCTATTACGATAAACCATCTATCGCCTCACTTTGTGAAAGGGCCGGTTTACTCCAAAGAGTAAGGCATTAATCTGTTGAATTTTCACTGCATCAAAGTTGTACATTTAATTTTACTTATTTTCATTTTTTTCAGGCGTTAGAACACTACACTGATATCAACGACATTAAACGAGTTATTGTTCATACTCAATCATTAAATACTGATGTGAGTATAATTATTAATTATATAGTATATTCTCAATTTAACTTATTTAATAATTTTTTTTTTTTTATACGTCCAGTTTGTCATCAATTACTTTGGTAATTTATCTGTCGACCAATCATTGGATGTGTTGAAAGAAATGCTTAAAGTGAATATTAGGCAGAACTTGCAAATAGTTGTGCAAATTGCCACTAAATATTCGGAACAATTGCAACCTTTGAATTTGATTCAATTGTTTGAGTCGTTTAAGACATACGAAGGTACTTTGGTTTTCCTTTTTGGTTACGTCATTTTTGTTTCAGTTCAACTTAATAAGCTCTTGGATTTTTTTTTAGGCCTTTATTACTATCTTGGCTCAATTGTTAATCTCAGTACAGATCCCGATGTGGTTTTTAAATATATTCAAGCCGCTGTAAAGACTGGTCAAATTAAAGAGGTGGAAAGGATCTGTCGAGAAAGCCAGTATTATGATCCAGAAAAAGTGAAAAATTTCCTCAAGGCATGTTCAAAGTTTCGCATGCAAATATGCTTTATTAAATTTATTATTTATTTAATGTATCTTAATTGATTTTTTTTAGGAAGCTAAACTTGCAGATCAACTTCCCTTGATAATTGTGTGTGACCGATTTGACTTTGTTCATGACTTAGTTCTATATTTATATCAGCAAAACATGACAAAGTATATAGAAGTTTATGTTCAAAAAGTTAATTCTGCTCGTACTCCTGCTGTAGTTGGTGGTCTTCTCGATGTTGACTGTGATGAAATAGTTATCAAGAATCTTTTATCATCTGTTACTGGTCATGTACCTGTTGATCAGCTTGTTCAAGAAGTTGAAAAACGCAATCGCCTTAAGTTACTTTTACCATGGCTAGAACAGCGTGTTAATGAAAATTCTCAGGATCCAGCTGTTTTTAATGCTTTAGCCAAGATATATATTGATAGTAATAATAATCCTGAGGCCTTTTTAAGAGAGAATACAGTAAGTATAGTTTATGTTAAAAATATATATTTGATCAAAAAAATTTTTTTCTTAATTAATTGAACTTTGCTTATTATTATTAGCTTTACGATTCTTTAGCAATTGGAACATATTGTGAAAAGCGTGATCCATATCTCGCATTTATCGCATATCAACGTGGACAATGTGATCATGAACTCGTCAAAGTTACAAATGAGAATTCCATGTTTAAACATCAAGCTCGCTATTTGATAAAACGTCGTGATCTAACGCTTTGGGCTCATGTTCTGGATCCGAATAATATGTACCGTAGATCCCTCATTGATCAGGTAAATATTTTAAATTCAATTTTTTATTTAGATTTTAAAATTTCTTTGTAATTAATTATTTGTATTAATTATTAATTTACTAGGTTAATGCCGTGGCTCTCCCAGAATCTATTGATCCAGAAGATGTTTCTGTTACTGTTAAAGCATTCATGGCTGCTGACTTACCAATCGAATTGATAGAATTACTAGAAAAGCTTATTTTAGATAATACTGCCTTCAGTGATAATCGAACTCTTCAAAATCTTTTAATTCTTACAGCTATTAAAGTAAGGCATTCTTTGATTGTAATTTTTTGTTTGTATTTTTATTTTTATAATCATATCATTTTATTTTCATATATTGTAGGCCGATAAATCCAAAGTGATGGATTTCATAAATAAACTTAGTAATTTTGATGCTCCAGATGTTGCTGAAATTGCTGTTAAAAATGGACTTTTTGAAGAAGCTTTTACAATATATAAAAAACATGATGAAAATACTAGTGCAATTAATGTATTGATAGAACATATTGGTAGCATTGACCGAGCATCTGAATTTGCAGAAAGTTGTAATAATCCAGAAGTTTGGAGTCGTTTGGCTAAGGCACAAATTGAAGGTTTAAGAATTAAGGATTCAATTGGTAGGTTGACCATTAATTAATTATGCATTATATTATGTGTTATATTGTTGTCGAACTCATGATTGTTTTAAATTCATATTATTTTTAGATTCATATATTCGTGCTGATGATCCAAGTAACTTTAACGAAGTTATAGATATTTCATCACGTGCTGGTAAACATGAAGAACTCGTTAAATATTTGCAAATGTGCCGTAAAAAACTTCGTGAACCTGTCGTTGATAGTGAGCTGTTGTTCGCATATGCAAAAACTGAAAGATTCAGTGACCTTGAAACTTTCCTTAATTCACCCAACGTGGCGCAAATACAAGGAGTTGGAGATCGATGTTATGATGAGGGCTTGTATGCAGCGGCTAAAATATTGTTCCAAAGCATTTCAAATTGGGCTCGATTAGCTTCTACGCTTGTACACCTAGGAGAATACCAAGCTGCTGTTGATAGTGCACGAAAGGCTAGCAGTACAAGGTAATTAATTCTATTTGAATGCATATAGCATATATTGTTATTGATCAAACTCTATTACATTTGATGTTTAAATAGGGTTTGGAAAGATGTCCATGATGCTTGCGTGCAACATAAAGAATTCCGTCTCGCACATATCTGTGGTCTTAGTCTAATTGTTCACGCGGAAGAATTACAAGTATGCTTTAAATGTATCATATAAATACAGATTTAGTATCGATCGTTTACATTAATAAATGGTTTATCATTTATGATTACAGGATATAATTCGCCGATATGAATATAACGGTTATATAGATGAAATCTTATCTTTGCTCGAAGCAGGTCTTGGATTAGAAAGAGCACATATGGGGATGTTTACTGAATTGGCGATCTTATACACTAAATATCGTCCGGAAAAAACAGATGAGCATCTACGACTTTTCTGGTCACGTCTTAATATTTCAAAGGTTATTCGAGCTTGTGATGAAGCACATTTATGGAAGGAGATGGTTTTCCTATATGAGAACTATGATGAATTTGATAATGCAGCTCTTGCAATGATGAATCATGCAGCAGATGCTTGGGAACATTCCCGTTTTAAGGACATTATTGTTAAAGTCAGCAATGTTGAAATTTATTACAAGGTTAGTTATTCGATGAGTTAATCTTTCCTTTTAGCCAATTATAATTTTTTATTGATTTGTAGGCGTTAAAATTCTATATGGATGAACACCCTCTCCTGCTTAATGATTTATTGGTTGCACTTACTCCACGAATTGATCACACTAGAGTTGTTCAGATGTTTCATAAAGCTGATAATTTGCCATTAATAAAATCTTATTTGATATCTGTTCAAGAAGTAAGTATTTTTTCATTTTTGTTGTATGCTTATCTTACACAATATTATTTTTAATAAATTTATAAAATTTGATATAGACAAATAATGAAGCTGTAAACGATGCTTATAATGACATATTAATTGAAGAAGAAGATTATAAATCTTTACGTGATTCTATTGATAGTTTTGATAAATTTGACAACATAAGTCTTGCTAAAAGGCTCGAAAAACACGAACTTCTTGAATTTCGACGTATTGCTGCTCATCTATACAAAAAAAATAAACGTTGGGCACAATCTATTTCTTTATCTAAAGAGGACCGCCTTTTCAAAGATGCTATTGAAACAGCTAGTGAATCTCGATCAACAGAAATTGTTGATGAACTTTTGGAATATTTTGTACAGATTGGGAATAAGGAATGCTTTACTGCATGTCTTTATACATGTTATGATCTTGTCCGTCCTGATGTGGTCCTGGAATTGGCTTGGAGACACGGTCTCTCTGATTTCGCTATGCCATATCTAATTCAAGTTATGCGTGAATTCTCTACAAAGGTATGCTTTTCCACATATTGATTTAAAAATTTATTGATATACTATAAACTATATATTAAGAATTAATAATCGTTAATATAGATTGATATGTTGGAGAAGGCTAATGATGATAGAACAAAACGAGAACAGGAACGCGAAAAGAGTGAAAGTGGTTGGTATAAATTTCATTGACATATTCTTAAAGATGGTTAAAAACATTTAGCTTTTGAACAATGCTTTAGAATATGTCAAATTTTTATAAGGTTTTATTGTTCATTTGTACTAAAAATTTGCTAAATTAGAAACCCCCATGATGCCTCCGATCGGGTTAGGAAATCAACTTATGCTTACGCAAGGATCAGGACAAGGGTAAATTAAATTTTCGATTTCTTATATCATGTCTTCAAATGCGACATGAGGAACGCACAATGTTTATGCAGATGTAATGCTTTTGTACTGAGATTTGTCAAGTGCCGGGCATGTATCATTAAAAACAAGGTCATGTCCGTGCCCGGAATTATATTTTAATAGTACCGTTCCCGGCACTTGTAGAACTCTGCTTTTACTATCATATCACATAATCATTTTGTGATCCATGTGTCGTTATATTCGGAGGCATTATATAATGGCATAAATACATTATTCTAACATATTCTTATCGTATCCAATAACAGCAGTTGGGCTCCGATATCTAATCGGATGTAGGGATGGTAAAGTTAGTTTAGATTTGGTTTAGGTTCTAAAACTTTTTGCTTCCAAATTAAAAACCTAATAACCGGGTTTTTATATGAGCTCCAAACTTAAGTTAGATTTGGTTTGGTTCAAAATTAAATTTTAAACCCTGATTTTAATATTTTGTTTATAAAATATAAAAAATAAAAATATATTAATAAAACGTTACTTAATTCATATCAAACTTTAAAATATACATAGTTTGATTATTTGAACAATTTGCTTGATATGCTAATATTGTTTTAAAGGCAGGGTGAATGTAGATCATTTTCTATATAAGGATATCGACTAAAAAAATTTTACCCAAAATTGAACATACGTTACATATAA